TTAATAACATGCCTTTTCTTTTAATCAATATCCCATATGCGAAACGCAACAATGCCTTTTTGTAACCATTAATTAACTCTTTGACAACTATTTATGATTTTCACTTTGTAATTGTTCACAATAAAATTTTATTTTATAAAATCACTCATAGTATAATACACTCAATAGGGAAAATATATGTTACACTACCATTGTATAATAATAACAATTATTTGGTTTATTATCCACCAATTAATCCATGAAACACCATATCTTAATAATAATTATTTACATACATCAATTAATTTTTGGTTTTCATGAAAATTGAACACTAGTCAAAATTTGAACCAATAATAAATTTTTAAAAAAAATCAACCTTTGATTTATAAACAACCAACAAAGATAGAACCATATAAATAGCTTGACTTAACTTATTATCTCAATTTTGGTGCCATGATTTAAAAAACAAAACTAATCTTGTAGCCAAATCTTATTTTCTGCATATATTCTTCACTTACATCTAATTTTCATGATAAATTCCTTTATTCATTTTTTATTGTTTTCATAGAAACCATGGGATAATATGCTTGTTCTATATATATATAACCAAAACATGACAATTAAACAATCGACCATTCTATTAGATACCAATTCAATTCGTTACTCGATAACAAGTGACAATTCTTTTGGTTATAGATCAATTCATATATTTCTCTTTTATGTTTTCAAGCTATTTCCCATCCCAGTCTTTATAAGCATCAATTTTTCAAATAGATATAATACAATTTATTAAACCTAATTGTAGAGCCAATTTTAGTATATACATAAACTTATGTAATGTAATCAATATTGTGCATATTGTATTTTGACTTTACACACTAATTAAATTAATTATTAATGTGTTTATCTCGTTCAGTCAATCTTTTTATCAGTAATTATGCAAAAAATAAAATACGTACCTCTAATGAAGATCTTTATGAAAACTAATATTTTTTTTATTAAAACATTAATCCTTTGACGCATTGAGCCTCATTTAATATTGATCTCCAAATCTTGCCATTTTCTTTTACTTGTATCTTCTTTATGCGAAATATAAATTTCTCATAATTGTCTTTTAATTGTTAGAAAAAAAATAAATAAGAGAATATAAATAATAGAAAAGAATTTTGACTTTGAGACTTGAAAAATATTTTTTTAAAGACAATTATGCCTTTAGGATATGACAACACCTCAAAACTCTCCAAGCAGAAGTAGTGAAAATGATTATACTAAAATATCTATTTATAATGAATGAACATGCATAAACTTCTATTCAAATGATTATGACATTTTGTATAATCATGACATTTATGAATAACAATCTATTTATATTCAAATAGTTATGACCATTGGTTATATAATAATTATTTTTGTTCAAATATAATTATTTAAAATACAAATAAAATTAATACAAAATTTAATTTTATTCATCAATAATTAAATTTTTCTATCAAATGTGGGATGCACCACATTTTAAACTATTAACAATTTTAATTTCCATATCACCCCTTTTTGAGTTTACAAGCTTGAATTTGACTAAGCAGCCAAACTCTGTCTCATCGGGAGAGGAAACTTTTATTATTTGAAGTTTGTTTAAATGGAATTTAGCTCTAGTGATTAGATTTTAAATTTCAATAACTTAAAGTACCCAAAAAAAAAAAAAAAAAGCAAGGGTAATTCCTTGCTTCTAACTTTTTCTTAGTATTTCACGCGCAAAAGAATATTATTGTTTTAGCCATTTTAGAATTCCAAATCTAAATATGAAAGCTAATTTTAATTTGTATGATTTATATTTTTTTAACAGAATACTTTAGAGTTTATATATATTTTATGCATTTTCAATGGATATTTATTATATACTGTTGATGAATCAAACAATGATACTTTATAAAAAATTAATTTTAAAATTTTAAAATCTTTAAATACAAATATATTTAATCTTAAAAATATATTTAAAATTAATATTTTATAAGATATTATTTTGTGATTCAATAATAATGTATAACATGTGTACACTGATAATACACTAAATATAAATCCATACTTCAATATAGATTTAAAATATGTTAGATTTATATTAACTATATTATAAGCTTGATGGTAAAAGGATTTTACCTAATTACATTCCTTAACTATAAGTATGTATGTACATGTATATATAAATAGTTGAGATAGAAGCCTACAGGACAGCTACATTCCCTATGTTGGAGATTTCATGTTCCAAATACTCAATTTCCCAGCTTAATTATTCTAGAAATTAAACCCAATTAGTTGCTTGAATTTACACTCTCAATAAGCATATATGACCAAATGGGACAACCATGATGGATTCAATGAATAACATTTAGTGATGTGTTTATATAACCTTTCGGCCACTATGCATTACTTTATTCTTTTACCACAAGTAGAATATAGAGCAAGAATCATATGCGAATTCCTTTCAAATTCTTTAACTAAAAGTTCACAGTTAGAATGATTTTAGTGAAATTAAAAATAACAATAATAGTGAGATTAGTTAATGTAATGATGAAATTAAAATCAGTAATGAAAATATGCATTTTTAAGTAAATTGTGAGATAAATTATAATGGGAAGAAAATAACTATTAAATTAATTATATTAAAATTTGTACATAATAAAATCTTAAATATATATTTAAATTTTATGAGTTAATAATTAATTAAAACTCAGTTTAATTATTTTTATATCAACTAAAATTTTAAAAATTTTATACATATTATTTATATTAAAATAATAATTAAAATTTTAAATATTAAAATTATAAAAATACTTCAAAATATTTAATATTTAAAATATAGTACCTATTACAATTACAAGTGATATTTAGATAAATTAATCTTAAACATAAATATAAAATATATAACAAAATAAACAAAGAATTAATATTTAATATACAATTAATGTAATTTTTTTTATTCCAAGAGTAATGTTAAGAGATTGACACATTCCCATTTTTATTTTTAATTTATTTTTTTATTTTTTATTTTTTAAATATGCCATAAGAACTATATAACATCCTTTTAATTTTGCTTGTGGAGTTTTAAAAAAATATTATCAATGCATTTGATAATTTTTCATAAAAAAATTTAAATTTAAAAAAAATATGTTAGAATACTTTAAAAATAATAATAAAGAATAACACGAGCATTATTATTCGAAAATTCTACCGGAAAGTTGTGTTTCTCCACCGCATTCTAGAATATCAAATCTCCAACCAAAGAAATGATGAAATTAATCTCACGAAAAAATGTCATCCAAATGATATCACGGTGAGATTTGAGAACAAAAAGGAACCCAAATGCCAGGCGTTGATGCTGGTGCTAGACAGAGAAATGAGATTAACGCTTCTGCTTTACTCCTGCTTTATTTGATTCTTGCTTCATCTTAGACATGAGCCATATAGAAGTAATAGGAAACCTTACCTAAAATGATACACATGGAGGCGGTTGCAAGAATCCCAATCTTAGCTTTTAACTTCTCAAAAAGAAATACACATTTGACATTTTCATTAATAATAGGATTATTATCCTTGACGCGGATTTTTATATTTAATTTTGACAAAAATATTAAGTTCGTAAGACAAATTTAGGAAAAAAATTTTTCATTAAACATTAATTCTAACATTCAAAGCAGGGGTTTCATCTAGTCTCATCCGTTTTATCAAATATATTATTTTTACATTTATATATAATTTATTTTATATAAAAGATAAATATATGATATTATAGTGTAAATAAAAAAAATACGATAAATTATCCATATTTCGAAGCTTAATAAAAAACAATAAAAAAATATTAAAGATAAAAAAAAAAAAAAAAAACTCATATTTTAGTTTTTAATTTTTTTTGAAAAAAAAAATCTAATCAAGTGTGAATTGTACTATTTAAAAATCTAAGCTGGATAGGTAGAATTTGAGGCTCTAATTTTTTAACTTAGATAAACATGTAAAATGTTGATACCTTAAAACTCCGATCCGAACCGGCTACGGACACATCTATTTGGATGATATATATGATTTTTAATGATACAGAATATAATATTCAACTTCCATGCTGAGCTAATTAAGTATAAATGCACTTTACGTCATGTTAATGGACATTGTTCATCCATTTAAGAGATTCCCCATTAGGAATCCAGAAATAGAATAGTCACTGCTTCAAATTCTTTTCACTTTTCTTTTTTGTATGAAAGTCGGAATTCTTTCTCCCCACAAAAAGAAAAAGAAGGTTCATAAATAGTTTCTCTCAGTCTGAGAACACTTTAGATCGTGCTAGTAACTAGTATGCTTTTCCCACCTGAGGATTTCCATCATGATTTTGATGCGGTTAAATGTTTCGATTTCATTTCATTTTATAACTTCCCTTTTTTTTAGTGCCCTTATAGTTTTCAAAAACGTTATCCAAAAGTAAAAAGAAAAAGAAAAAGAAAAAAAACTGAATTATTCCTTATTCAAAGATATTCAAAATGTACCTTTCGTTTTTTATTCTGGTCCACAAATTGATTGACAAGACGTCTAGTGGTCTTCACTGCGGTGCTTATTGTGGCATGGATGATATATGGTAGAGTGTTGATAGATTTGTTCAATCGTTGTAGATGCAATTTCTGCAACTTTTTTCTCCGCTGCCAGCCTTCCAGACACTCCATTAGGCAGCCCATGATATCCCCACCCCCCCCCCCCCCACCCCCGCTTTTTTTTTTTTTTTGGGCCAGAACATTCAATCCTATCTTCAATTCAATCCGATTACATACCTAAAACGGCGAAACCCCTAGTTTTCTTGAACCCAATATCATGAAAAACCACATACGTGGATTCCATGTAACCTACATATAAATCCGGTATTTGAACAGATTCATTATTCTGTAACAAACTATAAGCCCTTATCTCTACTTCTAAATGACTAACATTTTAGTTTATAAGGTACTATAATTCTCATAGCCTAAGCACTTTTATAAATCCTGCATAGAAGACAATAATATTTTAAGATAGACCAATGACTAAGAAGATATATCCAAGCAGCAATAAACCATACAGACACAATAACTGGGAAAAAACATAACAAAGATGACTCAGCAATAGGCTGATATAAATATAATAGAAGTTACCTCACTTCAAGTAATTCTTGCTCCGTAGCTCATATATGGCCTGATTGGAGGTGGTGATCATTCATAGCTGAACCACGGTTTATGTTTTTCTTTTCTTTTATACAACATAAAGGGTATAGCTAGACCACTGTCTAATGGAGTGAGTTACCTAGAAATTTGGCCTTGCAGGTCGGACACATATAACCAACCGAATCTGACTGTATTTCAGAATCAACAGCCTCCTGGTTGAACTCTGTTCCACACCACACGCAAACAGTTGCAAGTTGATGCTTACCAGCCATATTTAACAAGATTTCTGATTCAAACTGATTCGAGGAACTGTAAGCACCTCCTATATCTGGATTATTACCCAAATCCATTGGAACCTCTGGCAATGAGGGAGATACTTTTACACCCCCAAAGCTGAATTTTATCGGCTCTATATCATCCAACCTCAGCTCATCAATTCTTGTTACATTGTCATGCCTCTGATCAATGCTGCATAAACCATCTTCTCCCTGTTGTTACACATAGAGAACATTAAACTAATTTCTTCAGTGAAATAATTTCAGTAAATCATTTCTCCCAGAGGGCTAGATGATCTAACATCTGTAAGAAATCTATGAAATTTAAAACTCCAATAGTGGTAGATTACTATGGGCAAACGATTTAGCATATATGTAAAACCATCAATAGGTAAAATTCATAACAATAAACAATTAATAAGTCACATTTCACAATCTTATTTTATGCACAAGGGGAAATCTAAAAAAAAACTAAATAGTTTATAACCTTATTTCCATTCCAGAGATGTAAAAATTTGTTTTGAGTTTTTATTTTTTCAAGTAAACATGGAAAATACTCATAAAAAGGCAATGAGGAAACAACTAATAGTTTTAATGAACCAGATCAACCAATTTAAGCAACCAATGAGGAAAGCTTATCAACGGCAACAATACTACCAGATTGAGTAAATTTCACTCCAAAAAAAGAAATGAATGATAGCCACGTACAAATGGAAAGTCATGAGAGCTCTAGTGAGCATCACAACAATCTCAAAGTCTTTACAACACATTGTACTGATAAAGCAATAAAAATAACAGAACAGGCCTTATACCTTATTTGAGATAGCATTTAATGCCGATGCACCCTTTAATGGTTGCAATTGGGACATTGATGATTCAGACACTTCACCCAGAAGTACATTTTGTTCAGATGTTTGACGTATAGTCTCTGGTGCAACATCTTTAGCTGGCCCACAACTATTTTCTAAACCAGTAAGTAACTCAGCATTCTTATTGTTATCCACTTCTCCAGGTTTAGGATGCTCCTTTGAGCCAGCACCAACTGAATTGACATTATTCTCAACATCACAGACACCCAGATCAGTGGAGAGAACAAGTAAGTTGCTTTGAGAACCTCTTCGCTGCTCAATGCAAGACTTTTCAAGTTCATCAGCATGAAATGTTAAACTAACACTTTGAACTAAAGTTTCAGATATAGTACCACTTTGCTCATCCAAAGATGCAGAAATTTTAGCATCAAAAAGAGCATCCACGTTCACAACATTGCTAGCTTCATCAATCTTCTTTATCTTTTCATCAATGACCATAGGCTCACCAGTTTGTTGACATAAATCTTGATTCATTGTTCTATTAGTCGTCTCATCCTCTGTTCCTGATTCACTTAAAGGCAAATCGGAATTCATTTCATGATCAGAAGTAGAAGCAGGAATTTCTGGATTAGAAACTGCATTCAATTTATCAGGACTTGATCCATCATTGAGTTCATATCTAGGTACAGCAGCAGTAGTTTCAAGAATAGAATTCTGAGCAATTTCAATTAAAGCATCCATTTTGGAGATCCTAACAGGCAACTCTTGCTTAGTTGGAACCTCAGTTCTCCTCGGAACAGTCAGTAAACCAGGTGAATCTTCAATTCCCCTCACAAAGTTCCTAACATGGATCCCTACATGACCATTGTACCGACGCCGCTCATGAAATACTTTATGACAAAATTGACATTCAAATTTTCCATCTCTAAGTATCACACCATCTCCAACAGAAGAACCAAGTCTATACCTCCTTGTAGTCCTCTGATGAAATGATAAAAGGTGCTGTAAATATGCATCCTTTTCATCAAATGTCATGTTGCATTTATGACATTCAAAAAGATCATGTATTTGAACTTCCGCCAGGTTATCCATACCCAGTAAGTTGACTTCCTTCTCCCGTTCAGCAGACCGCCTTTGATCATCATCTTTGTGGATAGCAATTTCCTGCTATTGCATGAGTATTATTGAACAATGTTAAGTATTTCTTTTTCTTTCATGAGTTAAATGGATGTTAAGGCAAACTTCACTTACATTTTCAGAAGCCATTTGATGAGCATGCTGAGCAATGTCACCACCTTTATCCATTGTCAGCGGTGCATCATGAAGTTCAAAGTAGGATTGCAGGTATGCAGAGACTTCTTTACATGATACAAATTGCCGTCCACCAGGACTGAAAAAGAAAAAAAAAATGATGATGCATAGGGGATAAATTGAAGTTTATTAATGATCAGTATCTCTAATTACTCATGACAGTATCGTTTGCTAGCCCACAGAGCCTCGAAAATCAAGATTAAGTGTCTTCGATTAATTACAATCTAAACCCACTAAACAAAAATACTGAAAAATTTTGTTTTGTTTACATTCCATTCGCATGTAAATTATAAGGTTATTCAAAGAAATGAACAAGAAATCACCTTATATATCTTCGGCAATAAACTGAAGCGCGACCTTCCCTCCTCTTTAACCCCAACAAAAGCTTCCAGCCTATCGGCAACACGCCTCCGAAAATGCTAGCATCAACAATCCTTCTCTTCCTTCTCCTACTGCACCATTGCCCACCCAAATCTCTCATAAACCCTAGCAAAGCCTCCTCATTACCCGACATGCCCTCAGTCCTCCTTTTCAATTCCTCCCCATAAGGATCCTCCAAACCACCCAGTGCCGCCATATCGACGGCGACCCCGTTTTTGTTCACAATCTCTAAACCCTTCTCTCTCTCTTCCCCAGAATTCCCAGACTGCACGTTGGGCTTCCATCCTCGCTTTCTCTTCCCAAGACTGATCATGGCATCTTCAATCTCGAAATTTACCATGGTATCCCTCATCCCATAACTTACCATTGCGTCCCTCGGAGAAGAAGGAGGGGAAGTAAAGTCCAGGTGGTGGAATTCGGGGTGGGATTTGAGGGAGACTTTGAGGGAGGAGATTATGGATCGGTTTTCTAGGGCTTCGGGGTCGTGGAGAGGAGGGAAAGGAGGGGGTGGTTTTGGGGAAAGGAGGAGGCCGGGGAGACGGTGCCGGAGAGGATGGTGATGGGAGGAATGGTGGTTGTTTGGGGAAGGACGAGAGAATGTCTGGCGACGGGAGCCGGCGGATTCATTGAAGCTGGAACGGTCAATGGAAGGGATTATGATGTTGTCGGAGCGGTGAAGGTCGAAAGCGGTTGGGGAACAAAGGGAGAGGGAAAGGAGCTCGGATTGGGTTAGGGTAGTTAGGTCCACGAGAGGGAGAGAATCCAAGGTTAATGGCTGAGTGGCAGTGAGACTAGCCATTGCGGTTCGTTAGCAGCGGTCTGCGGTGGCGGAAATAATATGATCGGATGATTTACAAATATCTAATGGAGCCTTGCGCTACAAGTGGGCCTTTACTGTTTAGCGCCTTACAAAGCAAAGAAATTTTATTTGGTCAATCTAACAAAATCTTACTTGAATTTAAAAATTTTGTCTTGGCAAATCATAATTAAAAAAAAATGTCTTGTTTGGAGATATTTATATATTTTTGGTATAAAACAAATCAATTTTAAAAAAAAAATCTTGTTTGGAGATAATTATATTTCTTATAAAAGAGAAAAAATCTAAAAAAAATTAGAGAAGATAAATTTTTCGATTGTTTAAATTATAGTTTGTTGGAATTTAATTTCTGAAGGAGATGAATAAAGTAGTAAATCATTTGAGATTTGAAGCTGGTAAATCATTTGAGATAGATCACAAGATCATGAAAAATTATATATTTATATATATATATATATATATATATATATACACGAGAAGTAATTTATTTATATTTGTGTAAAATTAATTTAATTTTGTATATTTTTATAAATTTTTTTTTATAATTTATATCTGTTTGATGCAATTATTACATTTTGTGTTTTTTTCGTATAGATAAAAAGATAAAATTTTATAAAATTTAAATCAAAATGAAATGATTTAATTTCTATCTAAAAAGGTAAAAAAATTTTATAATTAAAATGAAATGATATATAAATTTTATAATAATCAATATTATTCATTTAATATGTGAATGAAAATTTTATTTTTTTATAAAATTATAATTATTTTATATTATAATTTTTTATATTTTTAAACTAATATGTAATATAACAAGTTCAAAATTAATTTTATATTTTTTATTATTTTACTGTTTTATATATACAATAATTTTTTTATTTTTTTAATTATAAACTTAGTTTGATTACTTTTATTTTCTAATTAAAATGTTGTCTTACATAATTTATATATATAAATTAATTTATCTATCAAAAAATATATTTATTAATTCAGTTATTTTACTATAAAATAAATAAAATATTACTAATATTTTATAAATTATTATTTTTAAATAACATTAAAATCATTAACTTGTATAATTATTATAATATATATAATTATTTTCATTATTTTAAATAAAATAATATTTTATTTTTAATAATACTAAAGTGATTTCAAATAAAAAATTGATAAAATCATTTTGATAATAAAATTACTTTGATAATTACATTTACCATGATAATATTATAAAGCATACCGCAAGCTACCATATGGTAAACCAACTAAAGCTTATTCATCTGCCGAACGGAGTATGAGAAACGAGTAGTGCATCCATTACAACCAAACATGAAAAATGGATATCGCACTGTAGATATCACTTTCCAACCGCAGTCGCCGCACAATGCTAATATGGCTGATCTTGTTTGGGCAGATGGAGTTACATAACCCACCAATTATAATTTAGGACTCAACAAGTTTTACCACCCTAAACCATTTGACCGGCCTCTATTTGGCCAACCACAACTATATATAATATTTGATAATTTATTATTGCAAGATCTATTGAGAAGGTGAGCTAATTAAACAAAAGTTCAAAAGGGATATCTACATTTTCCCAACCAAACTGGAGCATCAACTCACCAACCTGATCATACGCCAAGTCCCCTGATTCCAGGTTATATAAACCCAAACACTTCCCCTTGTTTTTCTTCACTCAAACCGTAGGAAAACTCCTTTCCGCTATTAGAAAAAAGAACACTCTTGATTGTTGTTAGGAAATATATTAAAAAATGACCTCTTTCAATAGCTTTATCTTGGCTTTCTTCATGGCTTTGACACTTTCGAGTATCAATGTTGGTCTGACGGCTCGACACCTTCTTCAGTTGCCACCTTTGCCTCCATTGCCAACTTTGCCTAGAGCTACGCTCCCACCATTGCCTTCTTTGCCAAATCTCCCGCAGCCAACAATTCCCACATTGCCAACTACACTACCATCTCTGCCCAAGCCTGGCTCCCTGCCTCCACTTCCTAGCATGCCCACCATTCCAACCTTACCTACTGTCCCAAAGGTCACCCTGCCTCCACTGCCTAGCATGCCCTCAATGCCCACAATCCCAACCACGATTCCATCCATCCCATTCTTCTCCCCACCACCTGCAAAAACCAGCCCTTGAAACGTCCCTTCAATTCAGTTGCCTGATAGATCACGGATCACTCGTATTGTTTGTTCTCTTATTCAAAATGAGTATACCTTTTTGTCTTTGTTTCATTTGATGATGCTTTATTACTGTGTGCAAATGGCAGTTCCTATTTATTGTACTTTGAGATATGTTCCTATATGTGGATTTATATACATTATATTTCTTGCTTATCTTAGTTATTCTATGTTTTTCTTACTTTTTTAAATTTGAGTTATGAGCTGATACTTAAATTTACATATGAAAGGAGACAACATTATAACTTTAAAACATATATTCCTGTTCTAAAGAACATTTCTCACAAATCAACATAGCAAAAAATGGCTTATTTAGCTATATAAACGGTGCAGTGCTACTGCAGCATCAGATTAAGTCTGTGCCAAATGCTAAAATAGTTATTGATTACAAAGGATATCGATGGATCCACCTTTCAAACATGTTGTAACATTCCTTACCTTTGTACTCGGTTGGAGAATGACCTGCTCCCTGTACAGGCGACATGAAAAATGGTTAACTTTTTATTTAGTTTCATTCCTGCTAACCAGCAGAGAAAAAAAATAGAGAATTTTGTGATTAATTTCTTTACCTTCAAAGTAGCATAAGTCAATTCATATCTATTTTTACTATATTTCATCGTGTACCTGCATAGATTATAAGGCAAAATAAGGAAATAAATACTGCATTTTTACTTAATTTAAAATTATTTCAAATAATAAAACAAAACAAAACAAAAACAAAAACAAAAAACTTTTGAAGATATGGGGAAGTTTACAATCTCACCCTGCAACTTGACCATTAACAAACCACGGTCGCCAATCGATGTCTAAGGTCAACTTGAGCGTGCTTATCCATTCTTCAGTAGAAATATGTGGAACAACCATATCATGATCACCACTGCAGGATAAGAAAACGTAAGAAAATATATAAATTTACATGATAAAACATATACAAACAAAATTTGTGGAAATAAAATAAATTGTACTTGCAAGTATAAAGTTGAAACCTTAAATTGATTTACCGGTTTAGAAGAAAATCAAGTATTCAAAAACCGTTACATTTCCACAGTCTAATTTCTAGTTTAGCAAAGAAACTTTTTGGGAGTATGAATGCCCAAAAACCCACTCTTTTTCTATCAAAAATTTTGCATAGTACTAATCTCTGTAGATTGGCGTGTAGTGCATCAAACCTAAGATTTATGTTTATAGGAAAATCAAAAGTTCCCTTTTCATTAAAGATATAATAGTGACTTACACTATCATCACGCTGTTGGTCTATCTAATACTATAAGCAAATGATAGTGCTTATACCACCATTGTGTTAATGCAACTTTCATCAGGTAATGTACGAGACATGATATAGTGCGTTACTTGGTGCAATTATATATCCGGGAAATATAACCATTTATGGGTTCACATAGTGGAATATCAATAATTTGATTTCAATAGTAATATAAGAAGAACTGATGAGTCAAATTTGTGGAATGTCACCTGTAAAGTAGAACTTTCATGCTTCTCTCTGTTAGATTTCTTTGATAGTCTATTGCACTGGCAACGCTGTAAATGTAGGTCTCATGTGCCAAGGTAAGGTTACATCGATACCATTGTTTCACAGTTCCCTGCTCACCATTAAAAGGAAAAGAAAATGAGTCCATAAATTCTGTATGTCATCGCAATAAAATTTACGTACCTTTCGAACATGAAGAGCTTCTTGAACAGTCTCATTGTTGGCCCATATGTAAGACAGTATGTACTCAAAATTCTGCAGACAGAAAACTATTTGGTAAGATCCATACTTCTAACTATTCATATCAGTAATATATGCAATTAGCAGGGTCAAGCACGTGTGCAAAACACGAGGAGTCAGTCTGAAACCTTGCAAAAGTAATCCTGAGTTTTTGAGTTTGGAATGGGAAGTTTTCTTGATGCTTCTCTGAGAGATCTTCGGCGTTGTTCATCATTTGAATAAGGTAACGCAAGATCACATTTGGGCAGGAGTATATCTTGGTTATTAATATCGTCTACACACTATAAGTTTAAATAGATAGCATTATTAATATCCTCTCCGCCATGAAAACTCATGATAAATTAACCAATTATAGTCAGCCAAACCTTGTTGATAGCAAGAAGATCTTCTACACATGCGGTATTGGAGACATCCACATCTATATAATTCCCATTGCAGTCCCTTTTCACTGCCTGGAAAGGAGAATCTTGATCATTACTAATCAAAGTTGATAACAGAAACAGATTCAACTATTCAGTTCTGCTATTACCTCATAAAGGCTATCTGATATGAGGGCCATATCACAAGCAAAGGGTATTTTCGAGTTATCTTCGAGCTTTGAATCTGTATGTGGGGATCCACTAACGATTCCCTGATTTCATTCAAAAGATCATCACTTACTGGAATTTGACAATCTGTAATAAATTCGTGTACCGTAAATTTGGAAAACCAACTGGACTGAATTGATTGAATTGTTCTGGATCCTTACTAATAGATTTATATATGGATACATTCCACCTTCATTACCTGCATTGACATGATTAATCACAAGTTGAGCTCCATGATTCATGCAAAAGACTAAAAAGCATTACAATAGTGGATTCACTTTTTATCTTATGTTGCTCAGATGACAAAGTACTAGAAATGAATACCTGCCATGACAAAGTATATTCAATTTTTTGTCAGTTTGTTTTTATATTTGAAAGATTACATGAATATGTAAGAAAATGAAAAATAAAAGTGACCGTTTATTTTAATTTTGCCATTTGCTTCGCCATCAAAGGTGATTTTAATGCTAACAGGTACAACTGCTTCTTACTTTGCTTGGATGAAAAATTAGAGTCCAGAAATGCACATAACTTACCATCAAAAATTTCTTGTGCCACAATTGGTGCAATTATGCCAGAGTATGAATCACTAGCAATGAAGAACGGGTTATTGATAAATTTTGGATATTCCTTCAGCCACTGCGTTGAGTATCACAAACGATTAGACTTGAAAAGGAAAAAAATGGCTATTACACACATTTTGATCACGTCCATGACAAATAAGCCTAAATTTTCACTTCACCTTTCTGATAAACAAGTGAAGTTGGTGAGCTGATCCTGTATCTGATATATAGTAATCTTCAGAGTTTTGGGAGTAGGAGAATCCAGTTCCAACTGGTTCATCTACAAATATTATACTAGCACTCTGTATATTCATCACCATCACGCAGTGACAGGACCAAAATCTTAGAGTTAGTGATATTGAAGCCTCTAGTGTCCAGAATAAACTTGGAAAATCAAAAACAAAAATATTGCATGCAATCTTCACCTTTGTCCATGTGTGTGGGTAAAGCAGTAAAGTTGGCAAGCCCCCGGAGTAGTCAGTTGTATTGAAGGATAGTGGACCTTCAAAGAGAAAAAAAAAAAAACAATGAAGCAAAACAAGGTCGTGAAGGCATCAACCATCAATTTCCATCAAAAAAGAGAGAGAATTAAAAACAAGCTATCAACAATCAACCATGAGTAAAACTAAAAAAATTCCAAAATTCTGCTTTCTTTATTTTGTAATTGCCATTTACTTCTATTAGGTTCTTAATCTCTAATCTTGGAGCCAGAAAGAGAGAGAATTGTAGAATGATAATATCTAGAAAACAAGTTGGGAAATATGACGCGCATTTGGTAATTGGGTTTTTGAGGTATCTAGTCTTTTCTTGCCCATATAATTTGGGCCAGGGGATGAACTTAGTCATTTTACTCTCTCAAAAGGCCGTTTAAAGTCCAAACTCTTACGCCTATAATTTATGTCCTCTCCACTACTGTTTCGAAAACCCACTCACACCCAGCCCAATAGAGGTGAGCGGAAGTCAAACCAGCCGATCATCAATTTCAAAAAGCAGTAGATCGACAAAATGTGAAATGGCCTTACTGAAATTTAAAATTAGAAAAAAAAAAAAAAAAACATAGTGACTGAAAAAATTGTGGAGACAATGTCAGTATCTGAACTTAGTTTCTGTTTGATTTTCTATCTAACAGTCAAGTAAGTCATCACGAGGTAGATCATGTTCCACGTGACTTGCTTCCTTTCTCCATTGTCCTTAAAAGAAAGGCCCATTTAAAAGGTCAAAGTTTTTAAGCACGCGTTCATGAACATCAACTATTTTAAGTGTCAGAGATTTGTTTCTCCTTTTATGTGGGGGTTATGTCTCTTTTAATTTGCAGCTTCTTCAGATAATTATAACATCGTAGCGTGCTATGCGCACTTACCTTCTGTTAAAAATTTGACATGAAATGTCCTTTCATCGATGAAAGAAAAAAAAATGACAGAACCTACCTTGATCCAAGAAAATAGATTAAAAGGTAGTTGATAACTGAGAATGAAGAAGGCACGAGTAGAGAAATGTTATTGTAAAGTGATTAATTCAGCTAAACTTATCCACAATATTTCCAGTTTCATCAAAAGGAAGCGAAGAAAGACAAACCGACAAACCTGTTTGGAAAAAGAATCCAGTTAAAGCGGAACAGCCAGGGCCACCATTCAAATAAAGCATAAGGGGATCCTGTCTAGGCTTTCCTTCCGATTCCACGAACAGATAGAACAGCTCGGATTCATTCACTCTAATGTACCTGAAATCGAAAACCAACAATGTTCAATAACATTTTCAGTTATTTCTTGAATTATAACTGTAGCCTAAATGTTACAGATAGCGATAGCAAAGTGCCACTCACCCTGTTTCTAGCTTGAACGGCAGGTTTCCAGGATAGCCTGGTAGAGTCTCAACAATGGAGCCAGCTGAGTCTGCATGTTTGGAAAGAAGTAACAGCAGCAGCGGCAGCAAATGCACAAGAAATTGGCAGCTTATTATGTTCTTGGATAACATGATAGTTTTAGAGACCTAACGCAACAAAGCAAAAGCAGCGTTTACTCAGAGTCCTTCCAAGTTCCAATTTGCTAAACAGAATTTGAGAGTGATGAATTTCGTTGTGAAATAGTGCATGTTAAATGTGGCATACGACAGAAAGAGAATATGTTGTCGGCATTACAAACATCAACCACCATTCCAAACTAGAACTGGGGTGGGGGCGGCTTGTTTGATCTTACAGTCAATTGGATTGGTCAATCAGTCATCAATTTATGCTTTCTCTTAATAGCCAATTAGCCTTGCAAAGTGAGGCCCAGGACAAACGATATTTTGCGTTACTGTCTTTGAGGGGGAATCACATTGATGCTTGAACACAACTGAAATTCACTTTTTTGATGCAGTATTCTCAAACAATTGAGAGAGAACTACGCTTTTTACCATTTGAGCCAAACATTCCTAACTAATATTACCTGAATTATGAAACCTGTTTTTTTTTTTCTTCTTCTCTCTCTCTGTCTGGAGGCTACCCCTGCTGTATTTGGATTGAGAACATAAATTCTGAGGAAAAAGAAAAAGGACTCCGGTCAAAATTTTTAATAAAAACATTTACCTTAAAAATATATTATAATATTTTAAATTTTGTACACTTAATAGCAAAATCTTTTAATATGTTAATTTAAACTTTTAATTTTAATTTTAATAAAAAAATTTCACAATCTTTCGCTCAAATAAATTTTCTAAATCTTTTCTCGTATGATAGAAAAAATTTACTTCCCCTTGTGAAGAAGAAGTTTAATAATTCTGATTGACCTTTTGACCCATCGGTCGAAGTAAATACCGTAATAAGACATACGTGGGGGACTCTCCCATCATCATATTTTTGTTTTATTTTGACCTTAGCAATTTGAATGCCTTCTTTTTGGCTTTGGAGCTTAGGACTTGGAAAAGTTAGATCTTCGGTGCTACACTTTCTCAAGGGTAAATGGAACCGGTAAAGTTTAATATTGTTGTCAATAGTCCATGAAACTTTTAATTTTAATAATTAAAATTTAAATCTTGAGAATTTTAAATGCATATAAAAAAACATAAAAAACACATGCTGTCTGTATTTTTCGACAGGCTCAAGACAACGTAAACCCCATCCTAAAAATCATTATATAAACTCCTCTATCTCGAGGGCTTCCACATCACTTTTGTGAGATATATTTGGATAAATAATAAAATTAATTTTTTAATTTTAATTTATAAATGATCAACAAAAATAAAATCATACAAATAATTTAACTCAATTTATTATCTTAATTTTAGTACGATGATTTAAAAATAAAACTAATCTAACAGTCAAATCTTATTTTCTACATATATTCTCTACTTACATTAATTTTTCATGATAAGTTTTTTTCCCTATTTTCGATTGTTTTTATAGAAACTACCATGAGACAATTTGCTTATTCTATATATAAGCAAGATATGACAATTAAACAATCGATTATTCTATTAAAACCCAATTAATTTGTTATTTAATAACAAGTGATAATTTTTTTAGTAGTAAATTAATTTATGTCTTTTTCCTTTATATTTTCGGGCTATTTTCCATCACAATCTCTATGAGCATTTATTTTTCAAATAAATATAATACAACTTTATTAAATCGAATTGTGAAGCTAATTTTAGTATATGCATAAACTTATGTAATGTAATCAATATTTTGCATATTGTTTGACTTTACACACTAATTAAATTAATTGTTAACGTATTTATCTTATTCGATCAATCTTCTTACTAATAATTATACAAAAAATAAAATACACACCTCTAATGAAAATCTTGATGAAAATTAACATTTTGGTCCATGAAAACATTAATCTTTTGACACCTTAAGTCTCATCTAATAGTGATCTCCAAATCATGCCAATTCATTTTCTTTGTATCTTTCTCATACGAAATATAAATTTCTTATGATCAACTTTTAAATTGTCAAAAAAAATAAATAAATAGGAGAAGAGAAATAATAATAAAAAATTGGCTTTGAGAGGTGAAGAATATTTTCTTAAAAATAATTATGCATTTAGGATACAATAAAATTTTAAACTCTCTAATCAAAAATAATGAAAATTGTTATATTAAAATATTTATTTATAATAAATAAACAAACATAAACTTCTATTCAGATGGTTAAAATATTTTATATAATTATGACCTTTATGAATAATATTCATTTATATTTAAATAGTTATAACCATTTATCATATGATAATTATTTTTGTTCAAATATAATTATTTAAAATATGAATAAAATTAATACAAAAATTAATTTTATTCATCAATAATTAAAATTTTTTATCCAACGTAAAATACACCACATTCTAAACTATTAATAGTTGACAATGTCCATCTTTCAATTATGACTTGTATTAGGTGAGAAAAAAATCATAGATTTCTCTAGATTTACTTTTTGCCCCAATTTCAAACCAAAATCCTTGAGAATTTCTGTGATAGTGATGGCAATCTTTTTATCCTCTCTTCCAAACAAAATAATGTTAGCAGCAAACATAATGTGCGAGAATGAAGTCCATTTCTAGAGGCTTTGTTCAAAAACCATAGTTTTTCCTTGCATGCTTCAATGATACATAGACTAAGGAATTCCATGCAGATTATAAAATAAGTAGGGAGATAAAGGATCTCATAGTCTCAGCCCTCGGGATGGTTTAAATGCTGCTTCAAGCCTACCACCATTCAAAAGGATAGAAGTGGAGGAAAAAGACACAACTCATGATGAGTGATATCCATGATTGTGACAGATTGAAAAAAGTGAGGACTTTGTTTATAAAGCTCCATTCTAATCTATTGTAAGTTTTTTCCAAATCCAGCTTGATTGCCATATACCCCATTCTGCCATTTTTCTTCTAAATGAGTGGATCATTTCTTGGATTATAATGACATTGTCACACCCATTTCTCCCACGGATGAAAGTTGCCTGGAAGTGCGAAATGATCTTGTTAAGGAGGGGTCTTAACCTTTGGACTATAATCTTTGAGATAATCTTGTAAGGAGTATTACACAGGTTTATAAGGCGAAACTGATTAATACGAGCAGGGTTGCTGCATTTGGGGATGAGAGAGACCAAATTTTCATTTAATTCCCCTGGCATAGAGGCAGATTGGAATATATTGAACACGGTTGCACAAAATCTTCTCTTTAACAATGTTCCAGCACCTTTGGTAAAAGAATGGGTGAAGACCATCAGAGCCAAGAGCCTTAACAGCTTTGAAGGTCCAAACAACTTTTTGTATCTCCAACTCGGTAATGGATTGTAAGAGCTCTTCTTGATCCTGACTCGTGATGCTAACCAAACGCGTAGGCCCCTCTCTGGACTATCAGCCTGTGAAGTTGTGTACGGATGTTGAAAGTGGTTCTGGACACCGTCTCTTACACATACCAACCACGCTGAAAAGAGAGCCCTGAGATCGAACATTGATATTAGTTAAACTCGGAATAAAAGAATAGTCAAACCATTTGATTTACAGCGGATCCGCTTTCTATCGAGCTTTGCCTCTGATGGCGGTGGAGCTGCATTGTTAAATTGGATAAAATCTCCTCCGAATCTTCCTTTACATCTTGGCAACAAATTAAAAAAAAAAAAAGTGACAGCTTTTTGATTTATCCATTTGAATATCTTCGACATGATTATAACTGGTTAGGCGTTCCACATGAAAGAATCGTATTCCCTGGAGTAACACTTCACATTAATTAATTATTGCTACTAATACCTAATAACAAATATTTTAGTTCGATATTCGAAATGTTAATTCGCATCTCATCTAGCATTTCCTATAAACCTTGGGGGGTCGGCCATTGTTTTGTGCACGGGCACTGAGGAAGAAACAAACAGAGAGAGACAGAGAGAGAGAGAGATGGGATCCCTTTCAGTTCCCAACAAGCCGCATGCGGTTTGCATACCATACCCAGCTCAGGGTCATGTAAATCCTATGGTTAAAGTAGCGAAGCTCCTTCATTACAGAGGCTTTCACATCACTTTTGTCAACAGTAAGTACAACCATAAACGCTTGCTCAAATCCAGAGGTCCCAATGCCCTTGACGGCTTGCCTGACTTCCGCTTTGAGACAATCCCTGATGGTCTTGCTGAGCCGGATATTGATGCAACACAAGACATACCTGCGCTCTGTGACTCCACTAGCAAGAATTGCTTGGCCCCGTTCCGCCAACTTCTTGTTGAGCTCAACTCTTCCTCTGGTGTTCCACCTGTCACTTGTATAGTCTCGGATGGGGTAATGTCTTTCACTCTCAACGCTGCTGAAGAGCTTGGAATTCCTAATGTGTTGTTTTGGACCACCAGTGCATGTGGTTTCTTGGCCTATATGCATTATCGACGCCTTATTGACCGGGGTTTTACACCATTGAAAGGTGCAAAAAAGTACACAATATTGCGTGCTTCAGTTCCACATCTCATCTTATTTGGAATGGTTTTGATGATTTGATTTGTCGTTGACAATTTCTTCTTCATTCTGCAGATGAGTCCTATTTGAAGAACGGGTATTTGGACACCGTTATTGATTGGATTCCAGGAATGAAAAATATCAGCATAAGGGACCTTCCAAGCTTTGTCCGAACAACGGATCGAAATGATATCATGTTAAATTTCTTGGCGGCAGAGAGTGAGAAAGCTGCAAAAGCTTCTGCCGTTATTGTGAATACTTTTGATGAATTTGAGCATGATGTTGTCGAAGCTCTCTCGTCCATGCTTCCTCGAATTTACACCATTGGACCTCTTCATTTGCTTCTCAATCAGATTCCACAGACACATTTAAACTCCATTGGCTCCAATCTGTGGAAAGAAGAGCCTGAGTGCCTCAAATGGCTGGATTCCAAAGAACCCAAATCCGTGGTCTATGTGAATTTTGGCAGTATCACAGTCATGACAGCGCACCAACTCGTTGAGTTCGCTTGGGGTCTGGCTAATAGCAAGCAAACCTTCTTGTGGATCATTAGACCTGATTTAGTGAGGGGTGATTCGTCCATACTGCCCCCAGAGTTCCTTGAAGGAACTAAGGAGACAGGTTTGATGGCGAGTTGGTGCCCGCAAGAGAAAGTGCTAAACCACCCCGCAATCGCAGGTTTCTTGACACACAGCGGATGGAATTCAACCATTGAAAGCATTGGAAGTGGGGTGCCTATGATTTGTTGGCCATTTTTCGCCGAGCAACAAACAAATTGTAGATTTGCTTGCACTGAATGGGGTGTTGGCATGGAAATTGACAATAATGTGAAGAGAGATGAAGTAGAGAAGTTAGTGAGGGAATTGATGGAAGGAGAAAAAGGTAAGGAGATGAGAAACAAAGCCATGGAGTGGAAGAAAAAAGCAGAGGAAGCCGCCTGTCTGAATGGCTCATCATTCTTGAATTTGGAAGAACTGATCAAGCAGGTGTTGCTGAAGTAAAATCCACAGCAAACCAAGTTGCACTCCCATAATCATGGATAGTATTTGTATCCAATAAAAGAACTTAGGGCGTTATACTTTCTCCACATCTAGGCAAAGCTGTTGCAATTCTACTGTCTTTTTCTAACATTTAGTAGGCTTATTGGCAAGTCCAACATAGTTGGATACTTCGTGTTTCATATTTGTCAGACTAAGCAAATTTTTTTTGGCAGAAAGGACTCATAAGAAGCTTTTTTTTTTTTTAAATAAGGCAATAGATAGCATACACATTGTGATCTGAAGTAGACTTTCTTGTGGTAGAGGCAGGACCAACAATACACATTATATAATTAATATTTTTTATGATTGAGCCGCCACCCCCCACTCCAATTGCAAAAGGTAATTAGTAATTTGAATAACATACAAATCAATTTTAAAATATTTTTAAATTATTTTATAATAATTAATGGTTTTTCTTTTACTTAACAAAGTTATGGTTTACACACATTAAAGCAATCATTTGCACAACGTACCATTCATTTACTAATAAAAAAATGTAAAGTTATCAGTTGAGACAACTAAATACTAAAAAGTAAATCACATGTTTAATCACTAAAATTTTCATGATTTTAATTATTTTATTATAAAAAATTATGATTTGATGGCTAATGTTTTAAAATTTTAAATTGTAGTCGATTCAACTAAAGACTAATTATTGATTGATGTAATATTATCACATTACTTAACATTTAGATACTTTCCCGTCGTCTAGCATGCGCGTTATAAATAATAAATATTTCAATGGATTATTTTAGTCGATTAAGAAATTTTTAACAGAATATAAAATATGTCCTAAGGTCAAAGTTCTAATTATAATGAAATAAATGTTTATAATTATAATTTTAAGTAATAAAAAGTTAAAAGATTTTTTTCTTTACAACATTTGAGGTATTATTTAAGTAGCATCTTAATATATTCTAGTATGAGTAACAGAAATAAGAAAATAATTTATATATTAAATTTTTCAACTTATGAATATTTTTAAACTAAAAGATAAATTAAAAAATTTTATTTAAGTGATCTAATGTGTAATTAATTTTTTAAAAAATTAAAAATAAAAAATATAATATCATGCAACATGTCAAATGACATGACAATAAAATATGAAATATATCAAATAACATGATAACACTATATTATTGAGCCATAAACATCTAACAATTGAGTGATATAAAAAATTAAATTAAAAAATGTTAATAATAAAGTCATAACTTTTTTTATTTGAATAACTAAAATGAATGGTTACCAAAACTATAATTAATTCAAAATTAAATTATTAATAAAAAATTCTTATTTTCTTCTAAGCTTTATAAAAAACATTAGTCTGACCTTGAGTAATGTTTATCTTTAGACATTAGTTGCATCAAAATTCGAAGTGAAAAAAAAAGATGCATTACGAATATAGAACATCTATGATATTGGTTAGATTTATGTAGAACGTTCAAATCATTATTATTTGAAAGTATTAAATTATGATTGGGCAAGAAGCTGCAAAAGAAACAAAAAAAGAATAGAGTTAGCGGTACGTCTAGAGTCTAGGTTAAAGTGGATCTATGATTTCTAGGGTGGGTGTCATATTACGAGAATCTGATGGATACAAATTTTCGCCACATGGCTTCATTGCTAGTTTAAAGGTACCGTGAGGTTAGGTTACAGGCAATGCAATCTTACTTCTTTTTAAAAACTTTATATAAAATTATTTGTTAAATTTTCTTTTCGCGTGGATATAATTTATTTCGTATAAAAATTTTAATTAAAAAAATATTTTTAAGTACTAAAAAAGAAAGAAAAGATAAATTAAAAAAAATCTAGAAGATGAGAGTTGCATAACAATCACTTTCTTAATCTCTAATTATTTAAGTTTGTAAAAAAAATAAAGTAAATTATATCCAAAAAAAAAACTTAATAAATAATTTTTTCTTGTAAATCCTTATATAACTTTTTTTATAGGAAAATGAAGATCCTAAAATTTTTTAAGTTATTTGATAACTCGAAAAAATCTGAAGGGTAATTAACCTGTTTAATCATGTCAAAATAAGAGCTAATGCTTCACCATATATCACATTGTGAGAACCTTTGATCATGATTCTAATAATTTATAGCCCTCTTATCAAACTAACTTTAATACCATTATCAAATAATGTTGTGACTGTTATGAGAGAAGAATGTTTATAAGTGAAGATCTAAACTGGAGCTAGAGGTAATTTTGGAGATTAAAAGGTTTAGATTTTTTTGAAGTTTTTAGACTATCATGTATTCATAACATTGATCATCTATTTCTCCGATAGCATTATCTTATACTGTTGAACAATCTACTAGAACTTATCTAACTTACAAGACAAATCAAGATGGCACAGTAACAATTGAGTTTGATCATAACATCTTCCCAGATATGCTTATCAAACCTTCTCCAAAACTTTCTTTTCATGTACTTGAAAAGTCTTTTTCTAAGTAATCTGAGATTGAATTTGTCTCATCATCCTCAAACTGCTTGATCATAAATAGTGATCTTTACAAATCTTGTCAAGGGCTTTCAACATTTGTCAAGTACTGTTTGATCTATGGCGAAACATTGACTCTTACCCTGACATGGTCAGGCAGGTTAGCCACATGTGCAGTTAAGGGTTTGGGCAAAACCCAATCTGGGAACTACTCAGAGTTGAGAGGTTCCTTGTAAAAGTAATTCTAAGGTACCCATAGAGGTCATCTGACAAAAATTGACCTAGACTCTATGTGTTAGAATGGTATCAAAGCTAGTTTGATAAGAATGCTATAAACTATCAGAATAATTATTAGGGGTTCTCACAATATGATCTGTGATGAAACATTGGCTCTTACCCTAACATAACTAGGTAAGTCAACCACCTGTGCGGTTAAGGACTTATGCAAAACTCAACCTAGGAACTACCCAGAATTGAGAGGCTCCTCATAAAACTAGTTCTGAGGTACCCATAAAGGCCACTCGATAAAAAATAGCCTAGACTTTATATGTTAGATGCTATAAGGGAAACAGGTGATCAATGCTATTAGTACATGACAATCTAAGAACTCCAAAAAATCCAAACCTTTCAATTTCTAAAATTACTTCTACCTCCAGTTCAGATCTTCACTCATAAATATTCCCTTTCCATAACAGTCACAATATTCTTTGACAATGGTATCAGAGCTAGTTTGATAAGAGGGCTATAAACCATTAGAATAATTGATCTATGGTAAAACATTGGTTCTTACCTTGACATGACCAGGCAAGCTAGCCACCTATACGGTCGAGGGCTTTGGCAAAACCCAACATGGGAACTACCCAAAGGCTCTAGGTAGTTCCCAGGTTAGGTTTTGCCCAAGCCCTCAACCGTATAGGTGGCTACCCTACCTAGCCATGTCAAGATAAAAGCCAATGTTTCGTCACAGATCAATTTTATAGTTTGCAGTAATACAAATTAAATATGCTCTACAGTTATCATAGAATTATGGATTTTTCGCATCAGAAATTAGAAATGAATTATAACACATTGAAAAATTTTTATGGCACATAATAACTAAAATTTTTGTGAGATTTAATTTTATATTTAAATTTATATAATTTTATTTAAAAGATTTTTATTTAAATTTAAATTTTATTATATGTAAATTTTATTTTAAATTTATATAATTATGTTTTGATACATTATGGATTGATTTATTTAATTATTTAATAATATTTTATACATAAATATAATATTTATTATACGTATATTTTCTTTTGTAATTGTAATTTTTTAAAAAATCACAATCCAGTTAATGCTATTATAACGTCCTCAAGTAATTGTAAAATCTCATTCAATGATGAATTTGTTAACAGATTGGGTTATTCACGTCGACTCAATAAGCTATATCCAAATATTAATATTAAAATATTTTTTAATTTTATATTTCATTAACAATGAAATGGATTTATCCAAATTCAACTGGGGGAGTCTTGAGTAAAAATTTTCAAAAATCAATTGAGTTTGATTTGTCCAATTTCACTTGGTCTACAAATATCTCTACCCGATAATTTCTGTAATACATGAACAATCAACAAAAAATTTTGAGCCAAATTAGTTTAAAAAATCCGCACGTCTATTACTCTCATTTAGAATATGCTGCACTCCTTTAATCTATCCCCCTGAGTAAGTTGAATACAATCGTTCATTAAAGTAGAGCAAGATGAGTCTACTCAACGCTTTCTTAATGAATTTACCACCATTGCATCAGGTTCAACAATAAGTGGATATTACGAGATCTAGGCAAAATTAACCCTTCTATAATACCATAAGGCTCGGCCATCAGACTATTGGTAGAACAAATAACATTCAACGTAAAACCTCTTTGACTTGCAATAGAAGAATTCTAAAAGGAAAAGGGATTCGTAATAGGCAAGTTAACTTATAGGAGAAGAATATCTAAGAAAGAGGGATTCTTAATGGGCAAGTTTATTTGGTTATAAATAAGTGAAGTCTCTACACGATTAGGTATGAGAAAAAAATGTAAGAGAGTTGTAGGGTTTTGTGGGATAAACACCCCATAAGAGTATTGGGGCTCTACGTCTTATGGGTGTGTATGTTTGTTTGTGAGTGGACTAGAGAAGATTGAGAGGGTCCACATAGGTATGATGTATGGGAGCATATGGGTATGTGTTTGGTTATGTTGAAAAAGTGCACAAGGGTTTAGGTTTGTGTTTGTTTGGGTAGAGAATACTTCATAGGACTAGAAGAGATTGAGAGTGTCTTATGAGTATTGATTGTTGAGTGAGGTTGATGATATGATGTATGTTTGTAATTCTCTACAACTAGTGGATCTTGTTTCTCATCCGTGGATGTAGGTCAGTTAGACCGAATCACGTTAAATTGTTGTCTCTTATGTGTTTGATTTATTGTTTGATTTCGCTTCCGCTGGTGTGATTGAATTGGAGATTTTTAGCCCAACAAGTGGTATCAGAGCTG